TAACTCCTGCTATTTACGTATACATCCCTTTCCACACCTACTGTCAAAATCCCTCTGTGCCTTAAGCATCATCTCCTTGCCTCAAAAACTGTAACCTCCTTCTTTCTGGCCCTACCAACACGCAGCTCATTCACTGCTAGCCTAACCACAGCTTTTCATAAGTCGTTTCACTGACTCCAAATCCCTATCTTAAAACTTTTCATGTTTTGTCCCCAGGGCTTCACACAGCATGGTGACATGATGCATATCATATCATCCTGACCCTTCTAAATCTTAGTTTGTGTATTCCTTCCGCCCTCTACATCCTATTTTGTTACACTCAATTTAGAATACAAGAAGGCAGCGATCATGTTTTTACTCACTATGTAAAGCACCATATAGCATCTATAGTGCCAGGTTTCAGAGTAACAGCCGTGTTAGTCTGTATTCGCAAAAAGAAAAGGAGTACTTGTGGCACCTTAGAGACTAACAAATTTATTTGAGCATGAGCTTTCGTGAGCTACAGCTCACTTCATCGGATGCATACCGTGGAAACTGCAGCAGACTTTATATACACACAGAGAATATGAAACAATACCTCCTCCCACCCCACTGTCCTGCTGGTAATAGCTTATCTAAAGTGATCATCGAGTTGGGCATTTCCAGCACAAATCCAGGTTTTCTCACCTCCACCCCCCCACACAAATTCACTCTCCTGCTGGTGATAGCCCATCCAAAGTGACAACTCTCTACACAATGTGCATGATAATCAAGTTGCTACACAGAAAGACTCAGTCTTTCCAATCTTCTTTAGAAAACTGCTTAACTTTACAGCCCATAACTCACTCAGGAGCCCTTCCTCCTTCCAAAGAGACCTGATACACTCACTCTTCAGACAGTCATATTTCCATTCCTCTTTTTAAAAAAAGGATACTGCATTGTACTAAATAAGGTGGATTCCCAAACAAATGCAAAATTAAATGTTGGAAAGAAGAAAGGGAAAGATTCATCCAGAGTTACTTACACTGCATAGACAAACAACAGCTTGGCCAAGGCACATATTCCTGAGTAAGATATGAACAACTTACTTTATTCTCCCCCAGGTCCATTCCCTCTTTCTGAGGCTATGTCTACACTACAGTTTATGTCAGCATAATTTATGTCACTCAGGGGTGTAAATAAATCACTCCCGAGTGTCATAAGTTATACCGACATAAGTGCCAGTGTGGACAGCGCTACGTTGGCGGGAGAGCTTCTCCCACAAATGAGCTCTCTCCCGTCAGCTTAGAGCAACTAGATTAGAGAGTTTATGGCGACCAAGCTGCAGTGGTGCTGTAAACTCTCTTGTGTAACCATGCCCTGAGACACTTATTCTGCACACACACAAAAAAGGAGGATACTTTTCAGAGTAACAGCCGTGTTAGTAGCTGTAGCTCACAAAAGCTTATGCTCAAATAAATTGGTTAGTCTCTAAGGTGCCACAAGTACTCCTTTTCTTTTCGAGGATACTTTGTAAACAACAAAAATTACCATAACAAGTACGTTCCTACCATGATATTTTAGAAGTTGCAGGAAAACTCCAAAACTGCGAGTATATTTATCTACTTTGGAAAAAAGTAATTTATTTTCATTGCTTTAATCTTTCTACTATAGTGTTAGCAATTAACATAAGCATCACTCTTCTACTTTCCTATTTACAATCCATTATACTGTATATTCTACTAATACAATACATAATTTTCAGAAATGTAAGAGAAAATACACAATTTTGTAAAGTTTAAAAAAAAATGACAAACTCAATCTGTACAGGATTCTCAAGTTTAGCACCCAAAATTTATACAAAGCATTATCCACATAGCTTTGGAAGGGCAGATGCTACATTGACAAAGCAGCAACGAACTTACAGAAATACAATAAAATACAGAAAATAAAGGTAGGTATTTGCGGAATGAGAAACAATACAGTTAGAACCACTGAAGTTATAAATTTAGCAATATCCACTTTTTCTAGAAACATGTAATTGCAAACCTGGACTACAAAAAACTATGGAGACAAAGTAAAGTGAAGGACAGAGTGGTTTCTTTTGTAAACTAGGGAATCTGAAGAAATTCCTACTCTATATCTGTTAGCAAATTAGCAATTCAATAACTCTTAGTCTGAAGAAACATATTTCTCCCTCAACATGTCTCCTGCTTATACTTCTCTGTGATTTTCATAATCATTTGCTAAATATATTTCAAAACATGATCTGCAGTTTTGGGACTTTTAAGTGACTTACTCCTAAACACTGTACGAATAGGTCACTGTATAACTGCAGAATAGTGAAGGGTTCTCAAGGTAGGCACAGCCAACCCTGGTTTGGGTTATACTTACACAACATAAATTTTAACCAGTGCCATAAATTGGCCCTGAGGACACTTTCAGATATCAGTTTTGCCTACTAATTTTAAGGTATCACCGAGGCAGGAGTTTCAGTAAATCAGAGTTATAGTATAATCAGAGGCCTGTGAATTCTGAGATTCTGCAACATTTGCTACAGAGGGTAAGTTTGCTGTACAACTGTACTATAAAGTATCAGCTTAAAGTTTTACCAAGTTATGTTTCTAGACCACATGGCTGCAAAGATAACCTTGAAAACACGAAGTGGAAACTAACGCAATGCTGTCTTTGTGAATCTGCAGACAGCTTGAAACTATTGCTCCAAGAAGTATGAATTATATTCATCTCAATAAAAAGTGTTCTCTTCTTTATGTTTCAGAGTGCATTCTAATGACAATATTGTTGTCTATTTCGCTGCTTATCATTTTAGCAAAAACATACAGGTAACATATTAACCCCACAATCCCAAAGTTGCCCCAATTGTTCCCTAACAAATTTTCAAAACTTCCAGCTCCGTCCCTCCCGCTTTGCATCCACAATTTACATCGCAGTTATGCATTTTTAATACAGAATGCTTCCTCATATCAGACACTGAAAGTAGAAGAGCAGCAAAAAATAAGACAAACTCAATATCAAAACAACAATACAGGGTAACTATACTTACATTATTCATTTTTATATTTCATAAAAACCTCCATTTTAACACATCTGAGGCTGACACAGATGTTCCAGACTTTCTACTAGATTGCTAGAGAATCCAAGGCCTTATAGTACAGTATACAAAGCCTTGGAAGGATTAGATTTTTAATCAGAAAATGTTGATTTCCCCATACACACAAACCAATAAAAATATTTCCATTTAACCAAAATGTACAGATAGGCAAAATAAGAAAAATGCTGCTTGAGAACTTATGAGATTGATTTAAGGATATTTGTTTTGTATATTTTGCATGTGATATTGACAATTTGTGCTTCAACAGTTACAAATCGAACTTTTTTAATCTCAACATCTTCTGTCATTAAAATGCTACTGTCTGACCCCATCCCATAATTTCCTGCAACTGTAAAAATTTAAATAAATAAAAAACTATAAAAATACTTAATGTCCATATTTTTCACAACAGCAAACACTTAAATTGACAGAAATAAAAAAAATGCTTAAAATAATCATAGATATCTGTCAAAATTATAACAAATATCAATTTCATTCTCCAGTACTTAATTATACAGAGCCCTGACCAGAACATTCCACCCCTTTAAATATATTTTATCCCAAAAGATCCAAATGCCATTCACAGACATAAATGTGACAGATAAATTACTGTAACCATTTTAAAATACCCAAGAGCAGTAGACATTCTTTGGGACTGAGTGCACGCACAGGGTCACAATATCTGCTTTCCCCCTGGATAGTCCTGATTTTGACTCCTTTGAAACACGTTAGATAGGCCCAAATTTTCTTTATCACCCAGGCAGCTCCATCACAAACACAACCTAGGCAAAGCTACCTGCAACATGGCAAAACTTGGGCACATCCCCACAATGAGTTCCCTTTGCAATATGATGCCAAATATCAAGACCAAAATGCAGTGACAACTGGGTTGAGCCTGGGCTCAGCAGCTTCAGGACAAGCCCTATCAGCAGGAAGCCAGGACAAAACTGGGACACAGACAGACCAGACCAAGGAATAATGCAACAAGTCCTAGGTGGACCAGGTCTCGATGACATAACTAAACAGATCCTGTTCCTGGGACACCTGAGGGAGATGCATGATCCGCCTAGCCCTGCACCCCAGACTAGGGCTCTTCTCCCCCTTAACTCCCCTGCCCCACAACCAACTCGCACTACCTTCCCCCAAACTTTGGTTCCCAGCTCCCCACCACTGGATCTTCCCTCCCCCATATGCCCCCACCAGCCCTACACCAGTTCACACTGTCCTCTCCCAAACCCTGCTGCCCATTGCTGGGGCTCCCCCCCCCCCAGCTCTCGCTGCCCTCCCCCAGACCCCGATGCCCATTGCTGGGGCTCCCCCCCCCAGCTCTCGCTGCCCACCCCCAGACCCCGATGCCCACTGCTGGGGCTCTCCCCCAGCTCTCGCTGCCCACCCCCAGACCCCGATGCCCATTGCTGGGGCTCCCCCCCCCAGCTCTCGCTGCCCACCCCCAGACCCCGATGCCCACTGCTGGGGCTCCCCCCCAGCTCTCGCTGCCCACCCCCAGACCCCGATGCCCACTGCTGGGGCTCTCCCCCCCAGCTCTCGCTGCCCACCCCCAGACCCCGATGCCCATTGCTGGGGCTCCCCCCCCAGCTCTCGCTGCCCACCCCCAGACCCCGATGCCCACTGCTGGGGCTCTCCCCCCAGCTCTCGCTGCCCACCCCCAGACCCCGATGCCCACTGCTGGGGCTCTCCCCCCAGCTCTCGCTGCCCTCCCCCAGCTCTCTCTGCTCATTGCTGGGGTTCCCCCACGCCCCGCCAGCTCCCACTGCCCTCCCCTGGACCCCATTGCTGGGGCTCCTGACCGCCCACACTACCCTCCCCCAGACCCCCCTTCCCAGCCCCAGAATCCGCCCCCCCCAGCTCGGACCCCTCACTCCCCCATGGGCTCCCTTCCCTGCAGCGCCCCCCCACACTCCCCGCTCACCTGGTGCCTCCTACGTTGAGCTGGATGATCTCCCCGCTTCCCGCGCCGGCGAAGCCCCCACCGTTCCCCGCCATCTTCCCCGCCGCCGCCTGCAGCTCCGGGCAGCGCCCGCCGCCACCTTCCACCGCAGCCGGAGCCGGAGCCCACGGAACCAGCAGGAGGCGGCAGCTAGAGGCGGGAGCTGGGGGAGCGCGCAGCGGGGCTGCCCCGGGCGTGGGCCAGCGAGGGAGGAACCGGGTCCCAAGAAGCTGCGGCCCCTCGGGCTCAGGCCAGCAAAGGCCGCGCCGCCTCCCCACACCCTGGCCGGAGCCGGGCGGAAAGTGCCATGGCAACGCGCAGCACCTGGAGGAGGGGGCTCGGCACGGGACAAAATACTCCGCGTTCTGCGCGAAGCGAGCTCGGGAGGGGAGGGAGAGCTGTGGGGACGCTATGGGCGGGAGGGTTCGAAAGTCTCCGTACACACACACACGCTCCTTCAGCAGCAGAGTGCACACGCACAGCGCAATGGGGAATACACACACGCGGTAGTCCCCCCAGACGAGAGGACTCTCCGCACACACCCAAACTGAGGAATCCTCCCTCTCCTCCTCTCTCGCCAAATAGGCAAAACGCCTCTCTCTGTTCATCTATTTTAATTATTTTGCCCCTGATTCACTCAGCATAAAACCGGACTAAGGCAATGGTGAATCAGGCCCTTATTCATAGTGATGAAAGTTTTCGAGGGTTTTATTCAGTGATTATGCTATCAGAAAAATGTACACAGGACAAGTAGGGGAAATGGAGGCTGTCAAGCTGGGAAGTTATATTTGCTTAATGTGTGGATCATTAGTAACAGTCACCTTCTTAAAAAGCTGCCCAATTCATTGTCCTCAATTTTTGAAAGGCCATTAACATTAAATGATTGCATTTCTCCCCTCCCCACCGCATTATATTTACAGAGAACATGATGCCAGAATTGCAATGGGGGAAATCCAAAATCTGAATTCTGTATGACAACTTTTTTCTCTACTAAAAAAATTGAGACAGAGTTTGAATATGACCAAGCTACCGAAAGCTGCTACTGCTAAGGAAACATTTACGGTACATATTACTATTAAGCTTTAAGGCCAGCAGGGTGAAATTTAAAGCCATCCATGGCACTGGCCCTTAGCTACCTGAGAGATCACCTCACTCCACAGACATCAAAAGCTAGATTCCATCAGAACCACCTTAACCAACTAATGGAGACTTGTGTGTCCAAAAGACATGACTCTCCCAGGAGCTGGGCCTAGACTATAGAAGCATGCCTGCAAGAGATAAGAGCAACCACAGACGTCAGGATTCAGAAGTCAGTTTTCCCAAGTCCAATGTGCTCACAGTCTATTTTCACTTGGGAGTGATGGGAAGGAAAAAAATGGGGGAGTGGGGAATTCTGCTTCCTTTTAAGCTTCTCCTAAAGGCAAAGGAGGGAAAGCTAGAGAGGAATTTTCCTTTGTTGTCATCCTTTTAATTATCTGGGGACCACTGAAGATCACATAAGTACAGAGAGAAAGAGACTAAAGACAACTCAGTATGAAAAGATTGGCAGCATAGTTCAGGTTAAAGGATAATTTGTACTGTCCTTTCTTCAGTGAAACATCTTGGCCATAAAGAGATGCACAATACAAAGTGGGCTCAGGGTGGCAAAATATATTATATCCTTCAACTCTGAATCCACAGTGCAATTTGATGAGGAAATCAGTCTATTACAAACTGTAATGGAAATTTGACCAAGAATAAATGACTATATAGTTAGGAGAGGAAGTCATAACATTGTGGTTTGAAGGAGTGAGTGTATGCTGCCAGATTTGTGATCAAGTCTTACAGCCAAGCAAAGTTTTACTGTTTTCAGAGAGTAAGAATTTACAAATATGGTCTTTTTTCAACTAGGTAAAATTTGACAAGATACAAAGATCTCATGCCAGGGACCCAGCACCATTTAAACCCAGTATTGCCATTCTGCAAGGGCAGAGTGGACATCAAGGTCATAGCCTCACAGTGGAATCTCTGCAGCTCTTTTATGCTATGGGGGGGAGGAATACTTGTCTCCAATAGGTCCAAACCGAGAGAACCACTGGAGCTGGGCTAGTGGCAGAACTATTGAATCTTCATAGAATCATAGAATATCAGGGTTGGAAGGGACCTCAGGAGGTCATCTAGTCCAACCCCCTGCTCAAAGCAGGACCAATCCCCCATAGTTGCCCCAGATCCATAAATGCCCCCCAAGGCTTGAACTCACAACACTGGGTTTAGCAGGCCAATGCTCAAACCACTGAGCTATCCCTCCCGCCCATTCACTCACATGGATTCAGTGGCTTAAAAGCCCTAAGTGGTCTGAAGAGGGGTGGTAACCGCAATTTCAATCTATATGCTGAAAAAGTATCTGCAAAGAGGGGCCTACCTAATTATGGGATGGATTCCATCCTCCCTGTCCCCATGAAGTTCCCCAAACAAAGACATTTACTGTGAATTTCACCCTGACACACACAGGCCCATTGGTACCAACTGGCAAAGGATTCAATGTTCTATAATGACAACTCATATCAGGCCTAACAAACTCACTACAGCTAGCACACTGCTTTTGTAGTATTTATCAAGAAAGTTATGTGAGATCTTAAATGCAAACCAGGATCACATGGGTCATTAACATCATTGTGAAATGTATGGATCGACACTTTGTAAGGAGTTATGTGTATATATTGGAAAATATGTCTTCAAATCTGACTCAAAGCAGGGTTGACAAACAGGTTTTTGTCAGAGGGATGTATATTCATCTGTCTGCCTTGGTTCACATCAGGAGTCCTGGAACAATTTTTATAGTGGGGGTGCTGATGATAGAAATCATGTATTTGGTGTTTGTTATTAGTACTTCAAGCCAGGGGGGGCAGCAACATCCCTAGCTCCAGCACCACTGGTTTACATGTAAAATAAGCATTGTAAGCCAACATCATGGAAGCCCCGTTTGCATACAAAATCAACATGAAAGCAGCACACCCAGGAATAAACCTGGGTGTGGGAGGAGTCATCCTAACTCTGGGACCAACAGTGAATTTTGGGGATATAAGGAAAAGGCGAAAGGACAACTTTTCATCCTTTACTGAGAAAGCAAAAAGGACAGTGCTTTCTTTTCATTCATGAAAGAGAGATCCCGGCCTTGTTGGTTGAAGACACTGGAAGATTTCTTTAGGTGAGAAACCACTTTAATCAGAGGGTTAGCCTGTTAAAATTTAGACTCAAGGAAGTGTGTTATACTTTTGTTTTATATGTAACAATTTATGTTTCAATTATTATCCTTAGTCACTATCTCTCAAATCTTAGCCTGTGAAAATAAATGTGTGATTGTTTTCATTATAAATATATCTCAGTGCTGTGATGTTATAAAAGAGTTGATCCTCAGTTGAATCAAACAGGTTTGTGTGTACAGTGACCCCTTGGGGATAGCAACAAACCTGGTAATTTCTGTGAGTATCCAGTGGTTAAGGGCCGGACACTGCAGGGAGTGCTTCGAGGGAATGCTCTGTGCCTTCTTAGTAGTCTACACACAGAGAGCTATGGCTGCGGAGGCCTGGAAGGCAGTGCTTATGTTGCCAGAGGCTATTGTTTTCAGGGAGCTGATCCACAGCAGACACAGACTAGACTGCTTCACACTAATGGCAAGTAGTAGGGAGGTGCCTAACAACTCTGGGGACCCTTCGGGAGAGACACACCCCCTATACCCATACAAGTCATAATCCTAGCAGAACCATTTTTAACATTGGTAGAACACTTTCATTTTAAAGGGGTACCCCCAAAGAAAACTGTTGTGAAGAGTAGTCTACTTATAAGTTTTAGATCCAAGAGGGGACTACAGTTCCCCTAGCCCTCTGTTACATAGTCAGTATTTAAGCTTTGCTAAACAAATGTGAAAAGATTTAACATTGCATCAGTCTACTGTCAGAAAAACCACAGCTACAGTTTTGAGGTTGCCAAAGATTGATGCTAATGGCTATTTTCCAGTGCTTGTGTAGAGAAACTTCCCACAAGTGTACCACATGCAGTAACTCTGTGGTAAACACTAAAATGTGCATAAACTTACCATTAGTTTACTACTGTCATTATTTCTAAGAACTATTCAAACTTCTGTTGAAAGGGAAAAAGTCAACTTCAAAGTTAACTTAAAAGCCACTCTTCTGCCTGAAAATGTTGTGCCTATCTTTGGTACAAGTTTCACATAAGACTATTACATCTGGAAAAAAAATCTGCTGGTCTTTTTTTCAAATTATTTTGTACATTTGACAGCACTTTGTTTATAGTCAGTTTCACTGTTTTCCTTGGGTAGTCCAATAGAACATATATTCCTCCTCTCACATGGAGTTGCCATCTGTCTGTGATCCCCATGCAGAACTGACACCTCAATTATTTCTCCCTGTTAATCATGCAGGACTCTTACTCAGTAACCTGGGAGAGAGAAAAGTTTTTAAAATAGGAAGATGTAATTATACAACCACCCAAATGGCATGGGGACTTTAGGTGTACTACCTTCATCCACTGTAACTCATTTTTTAATTAGACTGAACACCAAGTGGACAGTGTTCTTTCAACATTCTAAAGCATTTATTCTCAAAGCAGAGATGTTTTCTTACTTTTTTATGCTCAGTTTTGTCACCACAAAAGAACTCTAGTGCTACTCCCTCTTTGCCCCATAGTTTTAGAAAAATAACTGAAGGCTGCAGTGATCAGAGTACCACTGGCTCCACTCTTTATGGTGAAATTCCCTTTGGGGAGTTCCTCCCACATCAAGGATAGGGTTTCATCTTAGTCCTCCCTCAAATTCCTGAGATCCTAGGAAATCCATGGGAGGCGAAGCTAGCTGTTGCTAAGACCCTGTGCTGTACAAACTCACGAGGTCTGAGGTCTCCCCCCTGAAGCCGAATTCCCCTTGAAGCAGAATACCTTTCAACATTCCTTTGGGAACTGTGAGGCTCGCTCCAGTGCAGAGCTGTGGCTAAATGCCACAATTTAGCCCACAATAAATAGCACAAAGAATATTGTATTGTATTTTTCAGTTTCATATTTAACCCTTGTAAAATTTCTCTGAAGCTGCTGCTAAGAGTTGAAGAAGCTAGGGAGCCTTATCATAGAATTTGAGCCTAACTTGCATAGATTACATGAGACATTGAACATATCAAAAGAACAGTGTGTGTTTATGATGTATGATTTTTTTACAGTGTCCTTATGCATTGAAAAGGCTCATTACATTTCTCTAATTATTCTATTTTTTGAGGCGGGGGAGAGTCTTATAAACAATAAGAGATTAGGAATATAAATTCTAAGGATAAATGGTCAGATCACTCTTAGTGCATTTTTGAGAGAGGACAGGA